CTTAGCTTAGCTTGGCTTAGCCTAGCCTAGCTTAGCTTAGCTTAGCTTAGCCTAGCTTAACTTAGCTTAGCGCGGCTTAGCTTAGCGCAGCATTAGCATTGCATTGCATTGCATAGCATAGCATAGCATAGCATAGCATAGCACCTCATATCATAACATAGCATAGCGCAGCATCGCATAGCGCAGCATAGCATAGCATAGTATAGCATAGCGCAGCATATCGTACCATATCACAACTTAGCATAGCACAGCGGAGCATGGCATAGCATAGCATACCATAGCATAACATACCATAGCATAACATATCATGGCATAGCATAGCGCAGCATAGCATAGCATAACATAGCATATCATAGTGCAGCTTATCATAGCATAACATAGCACAGCACAGCATGTCATATCATAGCATAGCATAGCATATCATACGTGTATGTAGGCATTAAACTGTACTATGACTACTACTACCGCTACTGCTACAACTGCGGCGATGAAGAGAAGGAGGAGGACGGCGTGTACCGTTACTACTAATATCGCTCTCCTCGGGGCTCCAACTCCTACGTAGGGTCGCTCTGGGATACTTTGCTTGTAAGCAACAAAAAAGTGCGAGCCCCAGGGGACGCACTTCAATAAAAAGCACACCAGAGGGAGTGGATCAACAATAACAACTCTTCAGTAGTGACAATTCAACCAAATAAAACCAAGACAACAACAACAGCAACAACAACAATAACCACAATCATTACAAGACTGTTCGCTCCTAACGGCCGCGTGTCATTCACTATGCATATCCCAAACCCTGGATACTCGCCCTCTTCGTCTTTGATCGTAACCCTTTTTGGGGAATTATCTTCCTTCCTGGCCACGTGTCATCGGAGAAGCCCCTAAACAGGGAAACGACCGGGAAAACACAACAAGTCTCAGGCGGGAGCCGTTGCTGTTGTAGTCCGGAGAGCAACAACGCAGTTTGACCTGGACTAAATTGTAAGGAAGTCTCAAGCGGGAGCGCCGTTCCTGGGTAAATTGGGAGGACGTCTCAGACGGGAGGGGAGGGTCCTGAGTAAATTTGGAGGAAGTCTCAGGCGGGAGCCATTGTTGTTGTAGTCCGGGGAGCCAGGGTCATAGTTTGAGCACCAAGACTTTCCCTTTCAAAAAACAAGGTGCGAGCGTCAAGGGGCACACATTGATAAAGAAAAAACAGCATGCACCTGTATTGGGGGATCAACAATAATTAACCTTCAAAAATGAAAGCTCAACAATAGCAACAGCAACAACAATCATATTAAGATCATACAAGACAAATGACAGTTCAACAACAGCCGAGAAGGAGGGGAGCAGGGAAATGGGAGGGGGACAAGGAAGGAGGAAGGGGAGGACAAGACGGGAGTCGGTTGCGGATGGTGAGAGAGGACGCGTTTGAATCGGCATTGGGCCATCTTGAATCATTTAATGTGTTCAACCCCTCCGATCCGTCAAGAGGGGCTCCATTGGGGCCACCTTGCCAACATTCTGAACCTGAGTCGGTTGTCCTGGTCCAAATCGGGCATCCAACTCGCCATTCTCCTCCAAACTCATCAAGCACAACACTTGTTGAAGTAGCCTCAGACAGCTGACAGCAACCTACAAATGCTCATGATGTCAGTGCCCGCTGCACATCACTATTCTGGAAACCACTGGGAGACAACTCTCTCAAAGCAACTCCTAGGAAGACAAAAGTCAGTCCAACCGTCCCGGTCATGTGACTAAAAGGGCCCGATTTCAGATCGATTAGCGCTGCCGTAGTGAGCTGTGACGCAAGACTGAGCGCGAAAGTCGCAGCATACGAGATCTGCTTCGGCAAGATCTGAAAACTCCGCGAGTAGAATATACCCTGGCATCCTACGAACATCCAGAGATGGAGGTCTTCAAAACGGACGTGGAAGCCCATCTCAAAATACCACGAAGCTACCACAGCGGAAAAAAGAGCACTCGCACTTGCAACACGTGACACGAAGGCAACGCTGGTCGCATCGTCTCCGTGCCTGGGCAGGCAAAAGCGTGCGCTCAAGACAAGGCCCATGCCACTTGCCATTGCTGCCAACGAACCCATCATTGGCCAGCTCAGGTCTGCAGGACTTGAAACGGGCTGGCCTGACGAGCCAACGAGGACAATCCCTGCAAGTACCACGAGCATTCCAGTCGCAGCCATTTTGCTAGGATGATGCCCCTCCAGGAAGAGGTCGACGGCAACGGCACTGAACAACACTCCGAACTGAAGCATCAGCTGCACCATACATTGGCCAAGCATCCGAGACGCAACCACGAGGGTGGCTGAGGGCAGCAAGCACGCGCCTGCCAACCAAGGCCCAGAATGTCGGGGCATTCCCTTCGGAGACACGAAAGGAAAGAGGAATGCTGCTGATAAGGCGTCAGACAAGAAAAGAACACAACAGGCGCTGATGAATGGATCTGCTCCAACGGTGCTTAAACGCGTGATGAATAGAAGGCGTACCGTCGAAGAAGCGCCCACTGCCAGAGCACATAAGATGCACATTGCGTACCAAATACGCGTTCGCCCGATGCCCTGGCTGGACTCCTTCTCCGTATGAGTTTCCATTGCGCTGTCAACCTGCCTGCTCGCTGGCCTTTCCACATCGTACTGTGCTGCTTTGAACGGCGTCTGTTCGTTCGTCATGCTGCGGCGCAGGAACACCCGTTAGCCGAGCGCTGGGGAGCAAATGCTTCGAAAAACTAGAACCTAAATTTGAAGAATCGCCTGAACCGACAATACCACGGGGCAAGCACTGTGTAGCTAAAATGGATGAGCCAACCTTGTTACACGACCATCTGGGCGCCCTCATGGGGAGTCTTGCGGCTCTCGTGGGGGCCTGTTGGGTCCTCTGAAAGCTCTCTGGAAGCTTGCCCGCTCCAGAAGTCCTGAATCCAAACATGATGACATCTCTGAGGGTGTATCTCTTACGTCCGCCGTCTTCTGCATCCTTCCTGACAGCCAGCAGCATCTCTGAGGGGTCTCATCTCTTGCGTCCGCCGGCTTCCGCCGACGGAGCCGACCACCCGGTTTGTTCTAGAAGCCTTCCACTGGCCTGCCGCTGATGAAGAGACAATCCTAAAGGGGCCCCAGGGCACACAAATAAATACACACAAATAAACAGATTCCCCATATTTTCGCATCTTTTCTGGGTTTTTGTCTTCCCCCCCACTTCCCATATTTTCCCATCTTTTCTTGGGAATCGGCGATTAATTAATCCCATTGTTCAGATACCTCAAAGGCGAGGAGGCGAGGCCCATTCTGGAGCGCCGCTCCTGTAACTCTCCGGGGGCCCTGCGGGGCAGCCCGTGCCGTCAGGGGCAAGCCCGGGCGCGGCTGGGGTCGGCCGCGCGGCCCGAATCCCCAGACGGAGACACTCCCCCACCTCCTCTCGTCGCGAGGAACTCACGAAATGGAGGGTTTTGGCACGCAGTTGTTTACCTCCAAGGACCCGGACCTTGGAAACGTCCGAGGACGACTCGCGATGGAGCGCTGGCCCTGGGGAAGGGGTCCGGACCTCCAGGGGTCCACATTGCGAGATAGCACGCGGCTCGAGCCAAGCCGGCGGAGGGACTCTGCTCCGTGCCTGCCGAATCTCACCCCCAGAGCACGTCGCGTGGCAGGCGCCTGCTGCGAGGAGGCTACTCTCTCGGAGTGTGCTGGCTCGCTTCCGACGCACACCGCGCGGCATTCCCAGGCATGCGATCTCTTGACTTCTTCCGTGCGGGGCCCCTGGGAGTCCCGGCCCTTTCCCCCACCCCAATGCTTCGTCCTGGCACGCGTTCTCGCGGTCCCGGGGTCCGGCACGGGCCCCCCGAGGCCCAAGACGGCCCAAAACCTCGGAAGTCCTGATTCTTGTCAGGTCGCGAGCACGTCTGGGTTCTAACCAGCCCATCCTCTGGCCCAGGAACTCGGTGATGCGTCGCCGATGGATCGGCGATGGGCCCTGGATGGCGAGAAACCGCACGCCGGGGCGGGAGGGACGGCACCCAGGGCTCGGGGTTGGTGCCTCCCCCCTGCTCCCTGCTCACCTCGGACACGAACCGCCGAGTGGGATGAAGCGGAGGAGGAGGAAGAGGAGGAGGAGGAAGAGGAGGAGGAGGAGGAGGAGGAGGAGGAGGAGGAGGAGGAGGAGGAGGATGAGGAGGAGGGAGGAGGAGGAGGAGGTGAGGAGGAGGGGGAGGAGGAGGGGGAGGGGAGGGGGAGAGAGGAGGGGGGGGAAAGGGAGGGAGGAGGGAGGGAAGGGAGGAGGGAAGGCGGGAAGGGAGGAGAGGAAGGAGAGGAGGAGAGGGAGGAGGTGGAGGAGGGGAAGGGAGGAGGAGGAGGAAGGAGGAGGAGGAGAGGAGGAGAAGGTATAAGGGGGAGGAGGAGGAGGAGGAGGAGGAGGAGGAGGAGGAGGAAACGGAGGAGGAGGAGGAGGAGGAGGAGGAGGAGGAGGAGGAGAAGGAGGAGGGATGAGGAGGGAGGAGGATGAGGATCAGGAAGGAGAGGGGCCTCGGGGAGATCGCTCCAGACTGTCGCAAGCTCGAAGACCGGAGGAGGAGGAGGAGCAGGAGGAGGAAGGAGGAGGAGGAGGAGGAGGAGGAGGAGGAGGAGGAGGAGGAGGGAGGAGGAGGAGGTGGAGGAGGGGAGGAGAGGAGGAGAGGGGAGGGAGGAGACGCAGGAAAGGGGAGGAAGGACCAAGGAGGCGGAGGAGGAGAGAAGGGGAGGAGGACCAGGAGGAGGAGGAGAAGGAGGAGGAGGACCAGGAGGAGGAGGAGGAGGAGAAGGAAGAGGATACGAGGAGGAGGAGGAAGAGGAGGAGGAGGAGGAGAAGCACGAGGAGGAGGAGGAGGAGGAGGAGGAGAAGGAGGAGGAGGAGGAGGAGGAGCAGGAGGGGGAGGAGGAGGGGGAGGAGGAGGAGGAGGACAAGACAAGACAAGAAAAACCCACGATGGGATCCGACGGGCGGTCCGACCGCCCGAGCAGGGCTCTCTCAGATGAGGTCGCCCTGGTGCCGCCCCTGGATCGCCACGAAGACCATGGCGTAGGCGGCATCGCGCACGAGCTCGTCGTGCCTGAAGAATACCCGCCTCAGTTTTAACCCCTCGCCTGGCTGGGGGAAACACAACGCGGTTCGGGCGCCCGCCCAGCCCCCTCACGAGAGGGGCATGAACGAGTTCACGACCTTCTTGATGTCGGACTCGTTACTTCGACTACGCGTAGTCGACACCGTTCTCCGCTAGCAGGTCGTCCAAGAACAACTTCTGCACCAGGAGCTTGCTTTGGGCCGATGACCAGCCGCCGACTTGATGGAACACGTGCTCAAAGCGGACCATCATCTCGTCGAGGTCGAAGTCACCCTTGCCATTCAGCTCCGCCATGAGCGCCTCGGTCGTCACCTGCACCCGCTCGGAGCTGCCCGCACATTGACTCGGCCCCTGCCCCCCTATGCCGGCGCCGCCGATGGAGCACTTCCCGAGGGGGGGGGCAGGGGCCTGGGCTCTTGCATAGCCCTCGTGCCTGCCACGCTTGTGAGACAGCTGAGGCGTGCCAAGCTCCGCATCAGCCACAGGCACCTCGAGGAGCTCATCTTCCAGCAGACGCCCCGCGGCCACACTGGCTGCCAACGCAGCCTCCCTCCTCTCGTACGCCGCGAGGTTGGCCTGGAAGACCTTGCCCATGTCCTTCGCCACGTCCAGCTGCACAGGCACGACTTCCATAGCCAGCTGCTCCTCCAGTTGGTCGGCCCAGCTGGTCACGCGCGAGTCGCCGATGCCCCAGTCGGCGCCCTCGAGCTTCACCTCGTCCTTCGCCTCCTCGCCGAGCGTCGGGAACGGCGGAATCTTGCGAAGGCCCTGCTCCTCTAAGCTGTGCTGCTCCTCGGACCTCTCCTCGACGTCCTGCTCCTGGATGCGCGCCTCAGCGCCCTGCACGTCCAGGCCCTTCTGCTCCTCGATGCTCTGCTTCTTGAAGCCGTCCTCCTGCTCCTCGAAGCTCTGCTTCTTGAAGCCGTCCGCCTCCCCAGCAGCAGCAGCCTCCAGCACTTTCGAGTCGTCGTAGACCGCAGCAGGGCAACTCGGCGCCCCCGCGCAAGCAGCCCCAGCAGCAGCAGCCTCGGCGACGTGCTCCGCGACGTCCGCCGCGGCCGAGGAGGGGTCGTCCAGCTCGGCCAGGTCCCGCCCTGTCTCGCCGCTGGCCCTGGGAGGTGCGACGTCGGAGGGCCTGATCCTCCCCCTCCCAGGGCACTCTGGGCCGCCAGCGGGCCGCTGACTGCTGCAGGCCCAGGGGCTTAGAGACAGGGCGGGGGGCTCGCGTCGCGAGCCTGAGGCCTTCACCGCGGCCTTCCCGAAGAACGAGTCCTTGCCGTCTGGGGTGCACGTGATGTTCTTCCTCAACATCTCCCCCGGCTGCGACTCCACCTCCTCGGTCACGTCTACCTCGTCCTCGGAGGCGAGATCGGAGCTGATGTCGAAGTACTGGGGCTTGAGCGCCTCGACCTTTATCTCCGACTCGATAACTTCCTTGCCGTCTGGGGTGCACTGGATGTTCTTCTTTAACATCTCCCCCGCGGCGGCCGCCAGGACCCCGTCGATGAGGCGCTCGACCTCCGCGTGCCCGAAGAGCTCCACGTGGAGGTCGCCAAACCTGCAACGGGCGAGCATGATCCCTTTCAGCAGCGACACGACATGGCGTACTGCTGATGCGCGCTGGGCGAGAGCGCTGGTCTCGGCGCGCGCTGGGGGGCCGACTGCCTGCGCTTGCAGGCCCCTGGCAGCCCCTCGCGAGCCAAAACTGACTTGAGCCAAAATGGCTACGGAAGGAGGAGGAGGAGGAGGAGGAGGAGGAGGAGGAGGAGGAGGAGGAGGAGGAGGAGGAGCAGGAGGAGCAGGAGGAGATGGGGGGACGAGAGGCAGGGAGGGAGGGCAAAGGGGGGGAGGAGGAAGAGAAGGAGGAGGGGGAGGAAGAGGAAGGCCGATGCCCGCCCTCCCCCCCGCCCTGAGGCCAGAGCCTCAGGCCCCTCCCCCCTGTCGTACCCATGTCGTCTCTCGAGCACCGACCCCGCCCGGCCCCAGCCGCCGACCCCCGGGAGCCTCCGCCGGGCCCGCGGCGGCGGCGCGGGCGGGGCTCTTCTCGCCCACCGCTTCGGCGGCGGGAACGACGCGGCGCACCCGCGCGCACATGGAAGAGCGCCGCGCCTGCGGGGGCGGCGGCGGCGGCAGAGGCATCGCGGCGGCGGCAGCGGCAGCGGCGCGCGGATCGCATCGCACGGCTGCGGCGACGGCCCACGCCTGCGGCGGTGGCGGCGGCGGCGGAGGCTGCAGCGGCGGAGGTTGGCGGCTCGCGGATCGCATCGCACGGCCACCTGCATCTCCCGGGGGCCGATCTGGCAGGACGCAAAATCACGCCGTGACGACCGTTTCGGTCGAGCTCCTTCCATGAGGCCCACCGCGCAACTCTCAGCGACAAGAGTGGGCAGTGAGCGCAAGAAGGCGCGCGGTTTTGAGCTTTGGCGGCGTTTTACTGCAGTTCTGGAGGGCCTCCGGGGGGCCTCCCGTCGCCACGGCCAGATCCGCCTCCTCACCCTGACTGGGGCGCACCCCGGGAGAGGTCCGGGGGGGGGGGAAGGGGGGCGCAGATTGAAGGGACAAGAGCCCAAATCTCCAACGCGTCGAACATGATACAGGTTTCTCGCCGTGCTGCTTCCGGCATCCCCGGGGCACTGCGACGGTGCCCTGGGCCGTCAGGAAGAGGCTCTGCCGACGCCCTTGTCTCCGTTCCCTCCCCCAGGCCTCCTGCTCCTGATTCCGCCCCTCCCTCCCCTGCTGCTGCTTCGCCACCCGCATTTTTCTTGCCTCTCATCCACCTTGCCCTCCCACTCCTGCCTTCCCTGCCCTCCCCTCCCTCCTGATTAGATATGTTCTGTCACCCCCTCCTGCCTTCTCCGCCTGCTCCCGCTCCTGCTGCTGCACCCGCTCTCGTTCCTGCCCAGTCTCATCCCCCCCTCCTCCTCCTCCAACTCCTCCCTCCTCCCCCTCTCCTCCTCCTCTCCTCCTCCTCCTCCTCCTCCTCCCTCTCCTCTAGTGCTCCTCCTTCCTCCTCCTCCGCCTCCCCTTCCTGTCTCCTCCTCCTCTTTCTTCCAGTTCTGTCTCTTCCCCCTCCACCTCCTCCTCCTCCTCCCTCCTCCTCCTCCTCCTCCTCCTCATCCTCCCATTCGTTCTAGTTTACCAAGTGATCCTCGTAGCTCCGCGTCATCCTTTTTCCTTCAGGCAGCGCTCCTCGTTGTATCTCTTATCGTGATCTTTCTCGGTATCCTCCTCATTTGCCTCTTCCTTAGTATCCTCCTCGTCTGACTCCTTCGCCTCCCTGCGGTCGAAGTCGGAGTCGTCGGCTGCCAGGCCAGGTCGTAGTGATCTGCGCTCCACTTGTCTGGTGGTGGTCCTCGATGCCGAACTTGTAGATCTCGTAGCTTCGCTTGAAGCCCTCGTAACTCTGATGGCAGGGTGAGGAAACCGTCTGCGACGTATTCGTCAGACCAACTGTGCTCGCCGTACCCGTAATAGGCGTCGGAAACGCACTCGTCGCAAACGGCTCGGTCGTTGTCCACCGATACCTCCACGACGACGTACTTGTTGACCCCTTCGGACTGCTCGGTCGTGTCGTTCCTGGTGTCGGCGTTGGTGGCGCACGTGTGCTGTAATGGTGGTTGTTCTTGTCCTCGGGCTGCCCGTTGCGCAGCTCATTATCGTAGTTACTTGGGCTGCCTGCTACGAGGCTCATTCTCGCACCTGCCTGCTCCGCAGCTCCCCTCGGGCTGCCTGCTACGCAGCCAATGGCAAGTACAATGCAGCGTGGCCCGTCCCGTATTGGCCGCCATCCTGAGGGCGGTCGCCGCGACAATCATGATGTCGTTGAGGTGTGGTTGTGGCCCGTGTCCACGAGGTAACCTGTCCTCTGGAGAGCTGCACCCGCATTTGGTCTCGACATACTTGCCGGTAGGTCTCCACGCGAGGGGGTGCGCTCGTAAGCCTTCGGGTACGGGGGTGAACAGACCTCCCTTTAGCAAAACGTGGTTTCGTGAAAACGACCTCGGGCCCAAACCCTGGCGGGCGCCAGCCTGGAAAATGACGGCCGCGGCGCCCTCTCGAGAACCGACAACGGACAACTCACTCATCGACGTGTCAGGGCATAGGAGGCCTGCCCACTCCCGATTAGTGATGCTCTTCAGGGGGGCTCGCCAGGAGGAGGAGGAGGAGGAGCACGAGGAGGAGGAGGAGGGAGGAGGAGGAGGCGAGGAGGAGGAGGAGGAGGAGGAAGAGGGGGGAGGAGGAGGAGGAGGAGGAGGAGGAGAGGAGGAGAAGGAGAGGAGGAGGAGGAGAGGAGAGGACCTGCCCACCCCCGATTCTGTGCTCGCCCCCGGGGCCGAGCAACGGGGCGCGCGGCCCAGGGGGGCGAGCGCGGGGATGGAGTTCACGCAAGCGGCCCTCCTCTCATCCTCCTTACTCCTCCTCTTTCCTCCTCCTCCTCCTCTTTATTCCTCCTCCTCCTCTCCTCTCCTCTTCCTCTTCTCACTCCTCCGTCATCTCATCAGCATCACATCACATCAAAAATCATCCTCACCAGCATCAATCATGAGATCATCATCAGCATCATCATCATCATCAGCATCAGCATCAGCATCAGCATCAGCATCATCATCAGCATCAGCATCATCATCAGCATCATCATCATCATCATCATCATCATCATCATCATCATCATCATCATCATAATCGTTGTTTTCGTCTCCGCCGTCGTTGCCGTCGTCGTCGTCGTCGTCATCATCAGCATCATCATCATCGTCCTCGTCCTCGTACTCATCATCACCCTTACCATCGTCATGCTGATCCTCACCCTGACCTTCACCATAACCATCATCCTCATCATTAGCATCATCATCGTCATCATCATCATCGTCGTCATCGTCGTTATCGTCAGCCTCGTCATCTTCGGGTGCACCATCATCGTCGTCATCACCACCACCATCGCTACGATCACCACCATCGTCATCAGAATCACCATCATCATCACCATCAGCAGCAATATCCGCATCATCACCATCACCATCGCCTTGCTCAACATACGAATCATCACCAACAACATTATCATCGTTGCCGGCATCGGATTCACAGTCATAATCCGAATCGTCATCACCAACTTCATCATCAACCTACTGAATCGCCTTCATCATCAGCACCAACATAGCCCCCACCACCATCATCAGCCGCATCATCATCAGCATCGTCATCGTCATCGTCATCCTCGTCCTCATCCTCCTGCACCTGCTGCTCCTCCTGCTCCTCCTCCTGCTCCTCCTCCTCCTTCCCGTCCTCAGCATTACCATCAGCATCATCATCGTTATCATCGTCGTTGTCATCATCGTTATCATCATCATCATCATCATCATCATCAGCAGCAGCAGCATCATAATCATCATCATCATCGTTATCATCGTCATCATAAACAGCATCATCATCATCATCATCATCATCATCAGCATCATCATCATCATCATCATCATCATCATCATCATCATCATCATCATCATCATCATCATCATCATCATCATCATCATCATCATC